AAAAAAAAAAAAAAAACGACCATGTATACTAAGGCGTTTTTAGCGGAAAAAAAATACCATGTATCGAAAGGCGTTTTTAGCTCAAAAAAACGACCATGAATAGTAAGGCGTTTTTGGCCCATTTTTAGACGAAAAAAACGACAATGTATAGTAAGGCGTTTTTGGCCGAAAAAAACGACCATGTATAGTAAGGCGGTTTAAGCTGAAAAAAAACGACCATGTATAGTCAGGCGTTTTAAGCAAAAATAAACGACCATGTATATATAGGAAGGCGTTTTTAGCCAAAAAAACGACCATATATCGTGAGGCGTTTTTAGATGAAAAAAAACAACCATGTATATAGTAAGGCGGTTTTAGCTGAAAAAAACGACCATGAATAGTAAGGCATTTTTAGCTTAAAAAAACGACCATGTATACTAAGGCGTTTTGAGCTGAAAAAAACAACCATGTATATACTAAGGCATTTTTAGCCAAAAAAACCGACCATGTATAGTAAGGCGTTTTTAGCCCCCAAAAAACCACCATGTATAGTAAGGCGTTTTTCGCCGAAAAAAACGACCATGTATAGTAAGGCGCTTTTAGCCAAAAAAACCGACCATGTATAGTCAGTCGTTTTTAGCCAAAAAAAATGACCATGTATAGTAAGGCGCTTTTAGCCAAAAAAACCGACCATGTATAGTCAGTCGTTTTTAGCCAAAAAAAACGACCATGTATAGTAAGGCCTTTTTAGATGGAAAAAAAGCAACCATGTATACAGTAAGGCGGTTTTAGCTGAAAAAAACGTCCATGTATAGTAAGGCGTTTTTTTTTTTTTTTTGTTGCTGTATGTATGTTTTTTTTACATATGTCAGTAAGTAATGCATAATTCCCCTTTTGTGTGACAGGGCACCAGGAAGCGTTCTCAGCTCGACCTGGAGTTAGAAATTGAGAACATGGGCGCACATCTCAATGCATACACATCTCGGGAGCAGACCGTGTACTACGCCAAGGCCTTCTCCAAGGACCTTCCGCGAGGTATGACGATTGAAAGTGCACTTGACATTTGAGTCAACCAATCCTCCATTCAGTGTCACCAGTTGGCTCAGAATGTCGCCGTTTGCCTCTCTACTGGTACTCACTCATAAGAGGGAGCATATCACTTACATCAATCTTATCCATGTCATATTTTTGTAAAAGCCGTGGAGATTCTGGCCGACATCATCCAGAACAGCCGGTTAGGCGAAGCGGAGATCGAGAGAGAACGGGGCGTCATCCTGCGGGAGATGCAGGAAGTGGAGACCAACTTGCAGGAGGTGGTCTTCGATTACCTCCACGCGACCGCGTATCAGACCACGGCGCTGGGCAGGACCATCCTGGGCCCCACGGAGAATATCAAGTATGCAAAATCACAGCTTGCGCCAAGTCAAGTCGAGCCGTCGCCGCCGGCGTTTGACCACGGTTCCGTGGCAGGACCATCAATCGAGGCGATCTGGTCGAGTACATTACCAGCCACTACAAAGGTCCTCGAATCGTGCTGGCTGCCGCTGGAGGTGAGAGCTTTGTGCCTCGTGTCTTGCTGGCCCCCTCTTGCAGTTTGAGACCTGTCGCTATTGACACGCTGCGATGTTTTGAAATGTTTCAACCAGGAGTTTCCCACACTGAGCTCATCGATCTGGCCAAGTACCACTTTGGACAGCTTGTGGGCCGCTACGACAGCGACGCCCCGGCTCCGCCCGCCTGCCCCTTCACAGGAAGTGAGGTAAAGCACTCAATTCTGACCTCCCAACAGGGAAGAACAATTCAATCATATTCAAATTGGCACGGCACAGGCTACAGTTGCATCCATTTATTGCTGCAAAACGGTTGCGCCCTGCTTCAATACCACAAAGTCAGTCAGGGAGGAAGGTTGTTTGACTTGGTGCGGCGAGACCAAGTGACGAGTGAAACGGTGCCTTTTCAGATTCGCGTGCGCGACGACAAGATGCCGCTGGCCCACATTGCCATCGCCGTGGAGGCGGTCGGATGGTCCCACCCCGACACCATCCCGCTGATGGTGGCCAACACGCTCATTGGGAACTGGGACCGCTCGTTTGGCGGCGGGGTGGTGAGTATTTTTCAAACATTGAGCCATTTCCTCACATCTGAAGCCATTTTTTGGGGGTAACGAAATACATTGGGGCCTCACTCAGAATCTGTCAAGCAAGCTGGCTCAGATGGCTTGTCAGGGGAACTTGTGCCACAGCTTCCAGTCCTTCAACACCTGCTATACCGACACGGGCCTGTGGGGACTCTACATGGTGTGTGAGCCCGGCACCATTGATGACATGATGCGCTTCACTCAGAAAGAATGGTGAGATGAGGTCACACACACAGTTGAGGACAAACACATGCAATACTGTTCTGAGACTTTGCTTCTTTTTGTCGTTCCAGGATGTCGCTTTGCACCAGCGTCACCGAAGGCGAGGTGGCCCGGGCCAAGAATCTCCTCAAGACCAACATGTTGCTGCATCTCGACGGTAACGTGGCTCGGCGCGAGGAAATGATGAGAGGCCCGTGACGTCTTACTGTGTTTTACATTTCTTTTATTTTTTTCTCGTTCCAGGCTCCACCCCAATCTGCGAGGACATCGGCAGACAGATGTTGTGCTACAGTCGCAGGATCCCTTTGCACGAACTTGAGACCCGAATTGATGTGAGTGGATGGAGTCGGATGACCCAAACTTGAAGTTTATTTTGATCATGTTTTTTAAAAAAAACTCTCTTTCAACAGGCCATCGATGCCGCCACCATCAAGGACGTGTGCACCAAACATATCTTTGACAAAGCGCCTGCCATCGCAGCCATTGGTGAGTGTGCTCCTGATCAGGAAGAATGCGGCTGTGAGATTTGGAATCACCCCAAGTGAAAATTTGTATTTTATTTTTGGTTGTTGCTTTGGACAGGTCCAATTGAGCAGCTTCCTGACTACAACCAGATCCGCAGCGGAATGTTCTGGATGAGGAGCTAAGTCGAGTCACACTCTCTGTTTTCAGATCCCCTTGTCCTCGCAAGGGTCGCAGGTGGGGCCCTGGCTGTCTTCGGGCCGTCGGCGGGTGGGGGCACCGGGGCACCCTCAACCGGTTGACAGCCAATGATTGGCTGTCAACCGGTTGAGGGTGCCCCGGTGCCCCCACCCGCCGACGGCCCGAAGACAGCTGGGGGGAGGCTCCAGCATGCCCCTGCAACCCTTGCCAGGAGAAGCAGATGAGAAAATGGATGGGAGGGTGGACGGAGAACACCCACGCCGGCAGGAGGAGAACATGCCAGCGCAACAGGCCGGAGTTGGATTTGAACCCTTCACCTCTGCGCTCACACTGCAATGCACGAACCAGTTGACCACGGAGCCGGCCCAGGGTCGCACTCAAATGTATAAATGGCAAGATACCTGTTTTTTTTTTTTTAAACACAACATTCTAATAATAATAATGATTCTCTGATTAACTCTGTGTTGTCATTTTTTACTCTTGCTTGCAACTTGCTCTTGTGCAGCTTTCTTGGCCTTGACCATCTCCACCAGTTCCTATCAGAAAACGGGGACATGTCATCTCAGGCACAACAGGACATTTGTACCAATTCAAGTAGAAGGCACGTCATGACCCTTCCACTTGAACTGGTACAAATGTCCAAGTGGAAGGGTCATTGCAAGCCAAACCTTGGCACACAACCCTTCCACTTGAACTAGGACATTTGTACCAGTTCAAGTGGAAGGTCGTTGCGTGCCAACGTTTGGTTTGCAATGACCCTTCCACTTGAACTGGTACAAATGTCCGAGTTCAAGTGGAAGTGTCATTGCATGCTAAACCTTGGCACACAACAACCCTTCCACTTGAACTAGGAAGTTGGAACCAGTTCAAGTGGAAGGGTCATTGCAAGCCAACACTTGGCCAGCAATGACAACTTTTTCCACTCACCTTGTAGCGCTTCATGCAGTCTTTCTTGTTTCGTCCGGGGACGGCAGCGGCGATCTTGTCCCAGCGTTCGGGCGTGCTGACCGGAAACGTCTTGAGGGCCTGCTCCAGAAGCTTCTGTTCCTCCGTGGTCCAGGGGGCTGCGCTTCCATCACCACCTGGACCTGAAGTAAACAATGACGTCAAGCTTTGAAAAAAAGAAACCCATGACGTGCAGGCGGTTCCACTTTACACTCACCTTCGAAGCGCTCCGACGGCACCGCGTTATCAACGGTGGCTGGCACGGAGTTATGTTCCTTCTTGAATTTCTCAAAGGCTTTTCTGTTGATGTCATCTTTCTGCAATGGATCTGAAAAGACAATGGTAAGTCAAAAGAATTCAGGAAAGAAAACAAAGGAAACGACCATGTGAAGTAAGTATAGTAAGGCGTTTTTGGCACGAAAAAAACG